CTGAAGGACTGAACAGAAGCGTTGGACATCACAGGGACTCAATTCAGCTGTGAAAGGCACCTAAGCACTCAAGCAGACCCCTGGCTGGACATGGTATGAGGAAAACACAGAGGATCCTGCAGGATCCGGGGGCAGGATGGGGTGTGTGTTCACTAAGCAACTCTCCCTGCACAAGTTTGAGATGTTTACAATAAAACACACAGAGAGAAATCAAATGAAGTAAGTTGAAGGGGAACCCTTTCCCATCCTGGGACAGGGGTCCTCAGATATGGATAACTGCCACCTTCTCTCCAAAGCCAGCCCTGCAGCTGGGAAGACACCCTAGCCACTCTCCTGGGGGGAAAAGTGAAACCCACCCTAAATGAACCTATGTAGTTGGGCTCTGCTGGAAATGAGGCTGCCCACCTTCTCACCTGCCACTTGCCAGCCACTAGCAGCTCCCAGCCTGAGACAGACTCAAACCCACTTGCTCTTGGTGTCAGCCAGGCCATTCAGGCTAAAAAGTAAAACACAAGTGGAAAGCCAACTCTAACGGTTCAGACAGAGAGGGTATGTGGGGAACCTGGCAGTAGTGAGCCTCAGGGAAGGACTGATCCAGGGCTATGTTCCTGGGGCTCTTATCTAGCAGCTTCCTCCCAGGCCTAGCTGCCCTTGGTACCAGCCATATGGGAAGACCACACACCAGGTTCATTCCAACCCACAGGAGGGGAGGGGACAGCAGGACGTAAGAGAGAGGGGGACACTTCCCTCCGTGCTGCCTGAGTCCTTTGCACCTACAGCCAGCTGAACTGACGCAGGCCATCAGATCCACTCTGCACCCTGGGACAGGGCAGCCCCTCCTGAATCCTGGGATGTGGGTACTGGTGTCCCACCCATCATAGCAGGCTGGCCTCACAGGAAGCAGGCAGCAACCACCTCCAACAGGTGACATCAGGGATATATGCTCCCTTCCAGGGCAGGGTGAGACCTTAGTTCTTCCTGAATCTGCTGAAGGAAGCCCATTTCCCAGAGATGTCGCAGTCTGTCCCATCCACCTCCTCTTACGATGTGACAATGAAACTATCCTCTGTAGAGAGAGGGGATTGCTTCATTCCCCCTCTTGTACCGGGGTGGGCTGGGGCCATGACAGAAAGGATACTACCAAGTTAGTGAATGTTTATTTTAAAAATTATTACAGTAAAAAAACACACTGCATTTACTCCCCACAAAATTCTTCCTCTCACTTCAAACATACTCGTACCCCTGCCCTTGCCACTTTCTGTAGCAGCTCTAGAGTCCTCTTTCCTTCAGCCCTCTTGCATCTTCAGTTGCACTGTGCTGGCTGCCTCAGTGTCCTGAATCCATTCAAAATATTCCCTTCTCATGGATATTCTGACTTTGAGGAAGAACCAGAAGTCATGTGATGCTGAATCCAGTGAAGAAGGTGGATGAGGACACAACCTCACGGTTTTACAAGGCTGCCTTTCCCCCTGTTGGATGGCACTCGGTGGCAGCAATCATTGTATTTTTTTTTAACACACTTTAGAAAGATACTTTAACCATAATTTTAAAAAATGTAAACACCCAACATATATTTTGATCATACTTCATAAGTGACTCTGAAGGCTGGAATAAAGATGCCAAGCTCCCACCTGCAGCTGTGGGGGACACAGCCCACCATGAGGAACCACTCCCCTCCCAGCTTGGCAGTGTCCTGGCAGTGTAGCCTCAGGGACGCCTTCCTTGACTGGCCCTGGCTTCTTCCCTATGGCTCTGCTACCTGGTGGAGACCAGGTCCCTGGTCCCTGCTACAGAGTAGAAATGACGCAGCTCTCAGCTATCACGCCCAGGGCACCCAGATGGTCCTCTAGGCAGGGGACAGGACAGCCCGGCAGCTCAGGAAGCCCTTCCTCAGGCCAGGACAGCTGCAGAGGGCAGAGGAGCCAGCCAAAAGTGCGTGTCAGAAGTCCCGGGACCCAAGCACAACCTGGGAAGTACAGCCTGGCACAGTGGTGCACATCTGGACATTTGGGAGGCTGAGGCAGAAGTATTCCTTAGCCAGTACTTCAAGGCCAGCTTGGGCAACACAGCAAGACTCCATCTCAAAACAAAAACATAAACAACCAATGGGAAGTGAAAGTCCATCTCTTAGATCTCCGCATCACTGTGTGGACAAAACTCTCCCTACAGGTCAAATGGCTCTGGACGTGTTGAGCTTTCACTCTACAAACACAGCAGTCAGCCACAAGCAGAGCAGACAGGAAGTGGAGCCCACTGGTGACACCCCACCTGGTTCCTCGGCACTTGTGTCCCTCATGTGGTTTCTATTTCTAGGAGTATCTCATGACCCTCTTGTACAGCACTGAGGACTCCTAGTCTCAGAGGCTCCCTCTGAGTCTGGTCTGACTGTACCACTTAAAGGAAAGGGGGAAAGAGCAGAGAGAGGGAGAAGGAAGAGAGGGAGGGCTTGGGGAGGGTCACGGGGTAGAGATCAGGAGGCCTGAGGCTAAGCACAGAGCCTGGAGGCACTGCAGCAAGCTGAATTCTCAGCACAGAAATGGTGCAGGAAACACACACACACACACACACACACACACACACACAAGCACTTGCACACACAGACCAAGTCTCTGCCAGCTAAACTTGCATCTCTTTTATTAAAAACAATTCCTAAGTATTTTGTGTTTAAAGGCTATTATAAATGAAAATGTTTAAATTCAGTTTTCTTATGTTTATTGCTAATCTATAGAAGTATAATTGATTTTACATATGACTTTGTGTTCTCTTAAGAAATGTGCTTCATAAATATTTAAGGAGGAGAATGAAAAGAGAATTCAAATAACAACAAGTTGGTAGAAAAAAAGTCAAGAAAAAAGATTAGGAGACTTTTGGAAAGGTGGCAAAGTAAAAAGCAGTGCCATGCCCGTTAACTGTTGCTATATAACAAAACTTTCTAAAATGTGGTGCCTTAAAATACTACGGCATTTTTTCACAATTTCAGGACTGATTAGTTCTACATTTAGCCTTATCTTTGTTTCAGAAATCTATATGAACCATTTTATTTTATGTGTAAATGAACAAGTTATGGCTGGAGAGCTGGCCGAGGGGGTTGCTAAGGGCAGAGGAAGTGTTTGCGGGATCAGCAGCTGTGCTCAGCACCTGGGGATGTGACCGGCTCAGGCCAGGCCGGGAGACCACATCCCTCCCAGCGCGGTGCCTTCCCCCACAAGTCCCTCCCAGGCAGACGCCTTCCCTCACATGAGCTGGGAGTCCTCAAGTCCATCTCCAGCACACACTCCTACCAAACAGGCTCCTCACTCCCAAGGAGCCACATCAAACAGGCCCTCAGGGGCAGAGCTCATTCAACACGATCCTTGTTCTGCTCTCTCCACCACCCCAGCTCTCATCCATTCCCACACCAGCTCACGATTTGCCTGTGAACCCGGCAAGCTCAAGCTCCCCTGTGTGAAGCAAGCCTGCACGTGGCCCTGCTGCAGTGTGGTCCCAAGGGTGGATGGGACACAGGGGCACAGGCGAAATGGGTACTGAGACCGGGATCAGGAGTGTCCCAAGGTAGAGGATGGCCTCGGACTGGTGGGCACCTTTTCCATGCACAAAGAACACCCAGTGGGATTTAGGGGTTCAGTCTTCCCACAGGACCCCATGCAACTCACCAGACCCCATATCTTATGCTTGGGCCCTGACCTTAACAACAGACCCTTCGAGGAGGCTAAAGTTCAGCCCAGCTCAGGCCCTGGAAAACAGAGCAGCAGCCCGGGAGTATGGAGGGTGTTGGGCCAGAACCTGGGCTTTGCTACACCACTTGGTTCAGCAGCATCAACCTCACCCAGCCAAGCTCATTCTGTGCCAGATTCCAGAAATGACCCAAAGCCTCATACACATCCACATGACAGTGGCTTCCCACAAGGAAGATCAGAAGCCACTGATAAGTGGATGTTGTGGCCATGCTAGGTGGCAGCAGTGTCAGCACTGTTTCCTGCCGGGAATTCCACTGCCACTCCTGGTCCAGCGGAACCTGAAACACAACAGCACTGAGCTCAGTAAGTCCTGGAGTCTGGCCCCACAGCCTCTGGGAGCAGGCAGGATCAGGCTATGGGCATCACCATGGCCATCCACTGTGTGAGCACTAACCCTTGCCTGGTGGCAGTCCTCACCACAGGACCCTGCACCATGCAGCCAACCCAGGTCTCCTGCCATCCCGATGACCCAGCAGACCATGGAGGCAGTGACCCTGAGACAAGTGAGGGGATGTCTGGCTCAGGGTTAGCATGTCTAGTCATCCAGGTAACAGTGGCCAAGCCCAGGGGTCCTCCTGCTGCCCAAATCCGGTTCTTAGGTGGACACAGGCCCAACAGTGGCTCTGTTCGAACTCTACATCATTTATACTGAGGAAGGTCCCAAGTTCTCACCATAGTCTTCCAAGGGGAAACTGAGGCAGAGAGGCTGCTCCTCACCTACAGCCAACAGGTGTTAACAATCCCGGCCCAGATTCAAGCTCTCGCATGACAATGGGCTCTCAAGGCCCCAGTCCTAACTCTGGGTCAGGCCTGGAAACAGGGCCCTGCCAGGACACTAGGCCTCTGGGTCATACACTATCTTCCTCTCTTCCTTGCTGGCACTGAGCCCAAGATGGAAAGTGATCACTCAGTCAATCAGCAACTCCTTTCCAGCTCCTGATGGAGGTCACATGCAAATGATCTGTTTATCCTCAAGGTTCTCCTGCTATTCCCAGGGCAATGCTCACTGACACCAGTGCAGGACTCTGCCAAGGCCACACAGATGCCTGACCCCAGAAGGGAACAGGAATAATCTGGAGAAGGGAAGCCAAGTCACTCTCTGAAAACCCCACTCACCCCATCTATGCAGCCTCTTTTCCACATGTGGCTCCGGGTCAGAAATCCCCTGTGGTTGCACATCTGCCTCTTCCTCCTCCCCCAGCCAGCAATTGTGCCTGGAAACTTTATAAAGGAAGCGGTTGCCCCTGTGGCCGACAGCTGGAGGTGAGGAGCTTCTGTTCAAAGTGATTCAGCAAGAAACCAGCCTACCCCAGCGCGCAGCACCACAGCCCACCCCTTAAGTACACAGGGCTCCACCCGCCATCACCCAGCAGCGGCTGTCAGGACTCCTCACCATGTGGCTGATCACACTGCTCACCCTCTGCTGTCTTGCTGCAGGATCCTGCAGGGCAGCTCCAGGTAAGAGGAAGTCCCTGCCACCTGTCCCTTAGTGAAGGTGGCCCAGACCCTTACTGGCTGGCCCAGGGGACCGGGGCAGGGAAGGGGCCAAGGGTGGGGAACACCAGGCAGTAGGAACAGGGGTCCTAGGGGAAAGGGAGTCACAGAGATCTGGGTACCAGGCAGGTAAATGTCCTGTGTATGCTGTGTCCCTGGGTTCAGGACCCTGAGCAGCCTGAGATCACTCTGGGAAGGGACAGAGAGGGACAGAGTGGAGACTGCATCATTGAGGAGGGCTTCTCTGCTGGCTTTCTGCCTCGAGGGTGGCTACCCTTCTGCTCCCTATATTCTGCACCTGAGGGCCAGCAGGTGAGAGAGGGAGGAGGAAGAGGATGCTACAATTTCGGAAACTGAGGCAGGGCCAGGCCAGGCAGCTTGCATGCAGCGATACGTCCCCATAACTTGGCCGCAGTGGATACTGGGGGCCATCTTCAGCAGCAAGCACAGCCTGGGCCTCCCACAGTAGCCACCTCTGGAGGGGTGTCCTGCTGACCTAAGGACAGGAGAACAGGAGTTACCCTACTGCCACAGTGCTTCCCCTTTGCTGGCATGGCTGGATAAGTCCCCAGGCTACTATGAGGTCAGAGCCCCAGGGACCCTTGGGCTGGGAGGCTACCAGGTCAACAGGGACACTTCCAAGACAGTACAGGGGGCACTCTAACACCTGGGGCCTGTGGCAGGCAGACATCCTGGGGCCATAACCTGTGTACACCCCATCCCTTGGGCATGCCCGATGCTCCCTTCATATGCTGGGAGTCCCCAGGTCCTAGAGGGCTGTGTAGCAGGTAGAAGACAGGCTAACCTCTCCTCATGTTCCCTGTGTTTGGCTCTGAGGACACCGTGGGGCAACTGTGGGCATGCACATACGCTGCACGTGGTGGGGGAAGGGCTGGCCACATGCACAGGTGACAGGCACACAGGTGAGAGGTAGTACACTGGGGAGCAGACAGGTGAGAGGCACACAGGTGAGTCTGTACAGGTGAAGGCAGACAGCGCTGGGGCAGCAGGGGTAGAGAGCTGGGCACCTCTGAGGGGGAAGCATGGCCTTGGGCCATGTGCCCTGCTGACCTGGTTCTTCATTTCTCTCAGATTTCTGTTCCCAGGACCTTAACTTGAGTATCCAGCCAGGATTTCCCATACCAATAAACACCAACAACCCTGGAGTCCTCAAAGCAGCCAGGTACAGTGTGGAGCGGTTCAACAACTGTACCAATGACATCTTCCTGTATAAGGAGGCCCATATCAGCAGAGCCATGGTGCAGGTAAGGCTGGACACAGAGGCTGGATGCTCCCTACAGAAGTATCATTCCCCTGGACCAGAAGGGTACAGCTGGACTCCTGGAACAGCCCCTCCTCCACACTCAGCCCCGGGGTTCTTGGCACCATCTAACCCACTGTTGCCCCACTGCGCACTGGCTCAAACCTGCTCTGCCCAGGCTGCAGAAGCTTCATACTTCCCAGTGAACTCTCAATACCCCATCCCAGCCATGCTCATCCCTGTCAGCATGGCCAAGTGACAACCACAGGACAGGCAGGGGACCCCTCAGGAGGCATCTGCAGAGTCCAGGGACCCCGTGGGAGGCTGGCTTGGGACAACACCAGCACCCCACATGTGTACTGCCAAGTAAAGTAGGTAGAGCCCAAAGGCTGGAGGTGTCTACAGCAGCAGGGCCCTGCGTCACAAGGTCTAGCCAACTCACCTTCTTCCCATTGTTCTTGGCCATGGGAGTTCAGGTACACACGTTCTCATGCTAGGAAGCTTGCTGCCTGGGACAGTCTGGGTGTGGCCATGGTCTTACCTGGGCGAGGTGCCCAAGGTCCTCTGTCGGGGGACGGGACAGGGTACCTTGTACTTTGGTGAGGCTGGGAACTTTGTTTCACATGGTATTGGAGTCTCTGAGGCTAAACCCTGAGGAATTTTCCCTCTCCTGCTCCTCAGATGAGCTTGAGCAAAAGGCCAGGGTGAAAACACTCCCTTGGCTTCCAGGAGGACCATGCAGCACATGGCTGGGGACTCAGGAGGCACCATCCTCTGACACTTCAAGCTCCTAGGGCTCTAGTGTGGATCAGCAGCTGGAGTGAGGAGCCAGGGTGGCCTGGGCTGGTGTCATCCTGAACAAAGGCTCCAGGCAGTGGAGGTGTCCTGGGGGGAAAACTGACCCTGATAGGCAGCCCAGATACTGCAGCTCCTCCTCACAGATCATGGCCCACCCAGGCTGCACCAGGTCACCAGGCCTCCATCTCTGCTCTCCAGGTGGTACAAGGCCTTAAGTACATGGTAGAGATGCAGATCGGTAGGACCACATGCAGGAAGACGATGCACCCCTCCCTGGACAACTGTGACTTCCAAACCAGCCCTGCTCTGAAACGGGTAAGTGCATTGGGCCACCTTCCTGCCCCCCCAACCCCCAAAACCCAGAAGGCAGTGTCTCCCACCTCACAGAACAGACCCATGCCCTTCCCTCCCCATGTCTCAGATTGAGAGCCCTCCAGCTCTGCAGGGGGGAGACTGAGCATGGAACCTTCAGATAACACAGTGTGAGATGTGTCACAGCGTGACAGCTATCACATGCAGCAGGTTTGACAGGTGCACACAACAGGTGTACATGATGGATCACATTTCTGAAGAGGGAAGGCAATTGTAAAATCCAACAATCCATAAATACAAATACAGTTGAAAATTATTCTCGAATCATTTTTTCAACTTTTCTGTAGGTTTAAAATTTCAAAATAAAAACTGGAAGCAGAGAAGACCCCTTCAATGAGGACCACACTGGAATGCATACAAACACACACACACACACAAACACACAAAGCACACTCCAGCATCACATAAACTTCTAACAGCACAGGACCTGTGGGGCACCAGGGCTGGGCCCAGGTGATATGGATGGGCCTGGCCAGGTGGGCAGGGCCTGCACAGTATGGGTGGGGCCTGGCTGGGCATCGAGGGGGATAGGTCTCAGCTCCTCCTTTGTTTCAGACTCTATGGTGCTACTCTGTGGTCTGGGTCATCCCTTGGCTCCAGTGGGTCCAGGTGCCTGTGGTCCGTTGCACTGACTTCCGCCTCTGGATGCAGCATATGCTATGGACACCTGGCCCCCCAGTCCCGAAGTCATGGCCCCTGCTGGCAGACAGACGCACAGTGGATCCTAATAGAAGCCTGAGGTGGCACAATGACGGCTCGACAGTCCAGGCCACATCCATCCTGTCCTGATGTCCTCTAAGATCAGTTTCACAACCACAGTGGCCCTGGACTTGGTCCTGGGAAGGGTGGTACTGGGGGGACCCACTCCACTGAGAGCCCAAGTCCATCTGCTGGTCTCAGCCACTAGGATCAGCACCCTGGTGAAAGACCAAGCACACTGTGGATCTTGACCTTTCCTGGGAATGAATACAGAGCTGATGACTCAAAGCAATACTGTGGCTCTCTTCTTCCCTGCGGCCCAGGGCTGCAACCACTCAGCTCCACACTCAGTCCATTTTTTTTTTTTTTTTTGAGACAAGCTCTCAATATGTTGCCCAGGCTAGCCTCAATCTCCATATCCTCTTGCCTCAGTCTCCAAAGCAGCTCGGATTAGAGGTGTGCACCACCATGCATCACCTGTCGTTAGAAGGGTCAGGAAGGCCAGGCAAGGTTGCCAGGCCTCTCCTCTCAAGGTCTGGCAAGTGTAGGCTGCTTTCCTGGTACCTCTGGGGCCTACCCAGTGCTCTGCTGCTGGTGGAGAGGCCCTAAAGGCCCGGCAGCCAGGTTTTAGGGGGGTGCCTGCGGTGAGCAGGGAGTGGGGCTTGCTTAGTCCTCTGCTGCCTGGGGCCCAACCCATTACACATGCAGGAAACTCAGTTCTCCTTTGGCTTTTCACCCAGTTCCGAATTCCCACTCACAGTAAGGCTGTGCTGCCTTGTCCCCTGCACATCACTCAGGCATGAAGAGCCAGCAAGACCAGGAGACGAGGCCCCCAATGGCCCCAAAGGCAGTGCTTTCACTGGGGCCCTGTGGAGCCCACAGCCCCGGCAGCGGTAGAGGGAGAGGGCAGCCAGGGCTGGCCTTACCTACTAGGTCAAAGCAAGCACAGTCAGCACAGTGGTGTCCTGACCACCTTGCCAGGACCCCTCAGGAAGGGTCTTGTGACCCCCAACTGTCCCCCAGGGGCTCAAATCCAACCACAGCCCGCAGGCCTGCACACTGGCCTGCACCCAGCTTAGTACACTTAAGCTCACCCCTTCTCACTAAAGCAAACCAGCCACCACAGGGCCCCTTGGCCATGTCCCCACACACACTCATCCTGGGTCTGTCATGGCTCCATGGACAGATACCAGGTGAGGCCCACTGACACTACGCAGCTGTATCATTATTCCATCCCAACACAGAAGAAAATGTCCCTCTTCACCAGCCACAGGGACACAGCGAGGACAGGGGCTGGCCAGATTTCTGGAAGCTGCTATGTTTTGCCTCATCAGACCAACCCTAGAGAAACGTACTCCAGTGCCAGCAGGCAGGTGCAGCCAGCCTTGCATGCCCAGCCACCCTAGCCCACTGCCGCACTCCCCCACCCCCACTGCAGACAGCCCTTGCTCCAGGCGTTATCAAACAGTGACCTCTGTGGTGGACCCAAACCAGGTGACAAGGACACCCTGGAGATGGAAAGGACATCGACCAATGATGGCCTGGAGTCCCACGCTACCAACCCAGCTCTGCCTTTTTTTTTAATTTATCAGGTTTACACTGACATAGAAGGAATCACTGTGACACCACAGGGATGTTGTGCTTCAGTGTCACTGCCACTGAGAATATGTAAAGTTAAAGACTCAGCTCCTAAGGCACACCAGGGTTGTGATCAAAACAGCAGCACTTTTGTTCAGCACCCCAAACTGACCAAAACCAGCCAAACACTGAAGAATTGCAGGTCCAGAGCTTTCCAGTTGGCTCTAGGACACACAGCTCTGCTCAGCTCAGCTGTCCCTGCAGATGGGAGGGTCGGGCTCTGATTAATGCTTCCAGTACCTCATGCTCAAATGATACTGATGCCCAGGCCACCCCAAGACCTGAGCACCCCAGAGCACTCTGCCATCCCACAGTTAGGGCCACACACCAAGGCTACCACCTTGCCAGGCCCCAAAGGCCACCTGTCCCAGTCCAGCTACATAACACATTCCTCCCCTGACACCAGGAGCACCTGGCTGGGTGGGTGTTGGCTTTGACTCCAGGCAGTCACAAAAGCTGGGACCCTCTGTTACCAGCTGCAAGAGGCCACATCACCTTGCACATCAGTAGTCAGTGTACACAGCCAGGTGTGGTGCACACATGTAGGCCCAGCTACTTGGGGGGATTGAGGCAGGGGGATCACTTCAGCCCAAGAGTTGGCAACTACTATAGGCAACATAGCAAGACCCAGTCTCAAAAAAAAGCATGCACGAAAAACTTTCAAAACTATATACCACTCTACAAGAGTATGCTGATAATAAAATCTCAAAGGGGTCCTAGGAAAGTTAGGAACTGAATCCTGACTGAGATTTTGTAACAGAGAGTAGAGACTTGAGATGAATTACCCAGTAAGTTCCAAAGTGCAATACCCACTCAACTTAGTAGAAGGCTCTTTCATGAGTGAGAAACCTGCCTCACTTCATCCTGCCAAGCTACAGACAACACAGGAAGTGACACTTGAGACAGAGAACCAGTATCTCAATCAGAATTCAGATGCCTCTGCTGAAAACTGTGAAAACAACTTGCCAGTTTCTCTTTCTACCAGTGAGAACTGAGTACAGCAGAACCAAGATGGCAGCCACAGGCACAGAACACAAAGAGGCTCGGATCACCATGCATCCATGGAGGCCATGTGCAAGGCATGGTGCAGGCTGTTTAGAAGCTACCATGCTTCCTCCCTGCAGGCACATAACACTAATGGCCGCCCCATCAGGAAACACACTGCCTCATCTGGGCTGCGGTGGTTCTTGCCTCTACTCCCAGTCTTTTATTCCACAGGACACTCTCCAAGGAATGATACACAGACGATGCAAGGTCACTTCGCCCAACCAGCACCCAGGGCAGGCAGAGAATGAGGCCAATGGCTCAATTACCACAGGTGTCCACACTTTTCTAAATTTTGTTAATATTACTCAAACTATCGCACCCATCAAGTTATTCCAAACAGTGGCAGAGACACAATCCCACAGGCATTCCCAAGCACCCAATAAAGCACCTGGTACTATAGGACCTAGCCAGTGGTGCAGCTGGACAGCAGGAGAGAAGCCAGTGGCCAACCCACGGGGAACCGGCACCAAGGCCGGTCAGCATCTCAGAAGTCTGCAGTCTCTCGGGCAAACCAACAGGCAGTGTGGCCCTAACATCCTCACCAGGACAGCTCTCCCACAAACACTGAGGGACAAAACTTCAGTCACTGAAATGATCATAGTGGAAAAGAAATTCCCAGGCCACACCATCAACAGCAAAGTGAGTTTAAAACTATTTATTATCAAAATTAAGACCAGTGTGTCGACCTGTCAAGGTGTACAGCAGTTAGACATATGACACTAGCAGAACATAGGACATCACATGTGCACTGCCCACATGGGAAGCAGAACAAAGGTAAAGACAGCACATTCCCGGGTGGGCTCCTGGGCTCAGTATTCACAGAAAAAACCCATACAGGCTACCACCACAGGCCTTTCTTTCCCTCCCGCCTGCTCAGATCTGGTGTGCAGAGCCCAGGCAGATGAGGCTGGAAGGACCCCACACAGGGCTATGTCCCACAAAACCATGGGCTCCCCCACATCCTCCATACTCAAACTGTGCTCCCTGGCCCTTCTACGCCACATGGAAGCACATGCTGCCACTTAGAGAGGGATATCGAAGCCTCAGGACAGACCAAGAGCAGCAGTGAGGTCCCAGCAGCTCATCAGTGGTTCTGGCCACAGGCCCTAAGCTCCATGGACAGTGCAAGTTTCCCACATTCTAGAGAAAGACAGTGCCTACAGACATTATTTTTCTTTTAAGAGATATGGCTTTCTATGAATTGATCTTCCCTCTAAAGATGAAGTCACTCCCAGGAGAGGGGTTCCCTCGGGCTGCAGTCACCATTCCATCCATGCCTCCAAGGACCCACAGATGCTGAGACAGCTGCACCCATGGCTGCTCCGGCTTCCTGGCGTGCTGGGGCCTAGACCGACTGCAGGTTGAGCCTGCAGAGGAAAGGCGACCGGAAGGAGCCCAGGTACAGGTGCCCGTCGTGCTCGTGTACCTCGCTGATGTAGGTGGCCACCAGCCCATCAGGATCATGCAAGCTCCTCAGGAAGGTGCCACTGTCGCTGAGCTCCAGAACCAGGCTGTACCGTGGCACGAACTTTACTACTGTCTCCTGACTGAGCAGCTGGGGAGAAGCACAAAGGAGAGGTTCTCTGACCTAAGAAGGCCACACACAGGCGACCCCACATCCCTCACCACCCAGGTAGCACAGTCCAGAGCCCCTGTGCCTGCAACCCGCAGACTGGAATGGGGCCACACCAGCAGCAGGATAAATGCACAGCCACACTAAGCATGCAGAAAATAAGCCCTATCCAGGAAGTGACCACACCAAAGCCAAGGCTGCTGGTGATCTTGACCTATCAGAACATGGGGCCTAAGCCAGCACAGCTTCACAGGAATCAACAAGTGAGGGTCAAAGAATGTCAGGCGAGCAGGGTACAAAGGATGGAGACCCAGTAGAGCTCAAAAGTCAGCCTGAAAGTTCAAAGTGCTACATGACACAGCCTCGGACATGGCCCATGGCACCACCCTGCTGCAGGGGCACCTCCTTGCACAGGCACAGGGCACAAGACTGAACAGAAGGCTGAGGCAGGAACCACATGGGGAGGGGGTGACAGCCGCAGAGGACCCAGCAGAAAGCTGTGACACAGGAGTGGGCAATAGGAGTGAAGTGGACAGTAAGTCTCCACCCAAACACTAGCAGTTGTCCCATGAGTCACACCTCTCCGTCCAGGAAACATGGACAGCTCTAGAAGGCTCACCAGCAAGGAATGGGCTATGTGACAACATGCAGGACTCCAGAGCCTCCCTCTCTGCCTCCCCATCTTACCCCAAAGATTTCACTCTCTAGCTCCAACAGTCACTTCCAAAGCCTCTGAAACCTCTAACTGCACAGCCAGCACTGAGTCCCTGGCCTGCATCAGCTGAGTCCTGACCTAACCCCAGCTCCACAGCCAGCAGAGCTGCTCCAGGATGCCCACATTTTCCATGGCAGCTTCCTAGGACTGTGTCCTCAACAGTGTAGCCTGGGCTGCTGTGAGGCTGAGCAGGGTGAGTATGCAGGGGTCTAGCACTATAGTGGCAAGAGGAGGCCTCAGAGCCTCCTCTGAAGAGGGACAGAGAATGTATCCCTATAGCGGGGCAGGGTGGCCCAGGCCTCAGGGTCCACAGGTGAGGCCGTTCCCGCAGCAGGGTAGGGTGGCACAGGGTCAGGACCCACAATGAGGGTGACCTTGAAACAGGGTAGGGTGGTACAGGACTCAGGACTCATGGGTGAGGAGTGCTGAAGGCACTGTGGGTGCTACTGGCAGGTGGATGGTGTTTTTATAGCAGTGTGAGGGCCAAGGGCAGACTCCATGGACTCCATGGAGATGGTGGGAAGAAGTGGGAAGAATACAGGCTGAGGTGAGGCAGGAAGACGCCTCTGATGACTTTTCCTCCATGAATGACCTAGCAGGGAGTGGTGCAGGGGCAGGGGGAGGGGGGCTTGGGATGGGCAGGGAGGAGGGGGCCAAGCCTGACATGGGGTGGGGGCCTCAGAACTCAAAGAGCAAAGATGACAGAAGGTTCCTAAAAACAGAAACCAGAAGGAAAAGGGGGGAGATCAAAGGGTTCAAACAATTAAATTTACATTTCAAGATGAAGAATAAACTGTGTTTTAAGCAGACATCACCAAAGATGAGTAGAACTAGAACTTTTAGGGGTATAAAGGTCAAAAAGAACATAATTAGATTCATTTTTTCATTGTGTTTTTTGGAACTAGTTTTCTACTTACCTTGAAAATCAACCTTTTGATCCAGGGCTTCTCTGATAGGAAATCCAGCATGGAGAAGCCAGGGTTTTGGCGGATGACGGACATGGCAACCCAGTAGCCCCCAGAACTGCTGGGCCGGATGTTGTCAGGGAATCCAGGCAAATTCTCCACGAACACATCGGCCCCACCCTTCATCAGGCCTGACACATAGACCCTGGAAAGTTCCACAAAGGCAGTGAGCACAGCCCCAGTCAAAGGAAGAAGCTTCATCCAAGCACCTGACCCATCTCAGTCCAAGCACAGGCATGGAACTATTGCGGGGAGCATTCCTGAAGAGCACCCAGACAGAAGCAGGAGGGGACCAAGGCTGAGAGTGCAGGGAAAAGGGATCCGGCTGTGTTGTCATTAAGTTGAAACCCTCAGTCTACAACTCCCCAAGCAAGGGAATGGAGTAGCCAAAGAAGAGTATGGCTTCCACCTGTGGAATACAAGGCAAGAGCACCCACTGCACCCCAGATTCCCACCCAGTCTCTACCCACAGGGACACCAGCAGCCTGGGAATACCACACATACCTGCGTATTCTTGCCATGGTCGTTTCCGCCACCAGGACAAAGTCCTCCTCAGGAGACAGCTGCACTCCATTGGGAAACCGCAGCTGGTCCAGGAGCACCCGCACCTCCTGGGTCTCAGTGTCGTACTCCAACAGGCTGAGGAGCAACTATGGTCACACAGGAGGGTCTGCACGCTTGCAGCCCAGCCATGCTCGCCTCTAGAAGGTGACTCCTAACTTGGGAGTGGCTAGGCCTGGGTGCTCTGCTGCCCTGGAGCTGGGTCAGCCTCAGGGAGGCCGGCACTCCAACCCCAGGTCCTCCAGCAGCCCAGCTGTCTGTGAGCACCCTGTCTGTCCACACCACCCATTGTACACTAGCCTCGGCCATTTTATTTTCTCAAAGAAGTGAGGGCAACTGCTTCCTCACCAGTTTCAGACACCATCAGGGCCCTTGCCAGGAGCTGAAGGGCTATACTATGGAACACAGCACAACTCCAGAGGCTGTCAGTACGACCTAGGGTCACCTGCTGGGCACTGTCTGGGGAAGGCTGAATCCACACCTACCGCCCATCATCAGTGCCTTCCATAACCAGGAACAGGTAATCTCTTCTCTGCCACTTGCTGCTGGAATCAGTGAAGTAAATCTTTCGCCCATCCCGAGTAATAGCAAGATCATTCACAAAGGACATCTTCCTTCCCTCAATGGGCGTCTCAGAGGACAGCAGCAACTTCACTTCCCCTGAAGTGAGAAAGAGAAAGACTGGCTTCCATTCTAAGAACCTGTTTCTCAATGATTCCAAAATATGAATCATCCCAAATGATGTAAAAGGAGAAAGCTAAAATGAGCTTCTCGGTCTCATGTCAGAAGAGAAACTCCTTCCTGCAGTCAGAATGGTGTATCCCTCAGCTGATGGGTGACAAGCATGCTTATCCTCAAAGCAGAACCCCTACCTGGGAGCAATCTGAAGTCCTGCAGATGGGCACCCACAGATGGATGGGTGACCATGGATGGACAGGTGCCCATGGGTAGATGTCCTACGGCCTACCACAGGGTCTCATCCTTGGCCTGAACCTGTACCATGAAAGCTATGACCCTGGTCATGGTGACAGGACAACCAGTCAGGGGACAGAAAAGTAGAAAGAAGGGCAGCTAAAAGATGGGGGGGGGCAGAAACAGAGAGAGAGAAATAAGAGAGAGCTAGAAAAGAGTTCTAACCCCCACAGAGTTGAGTCTGCCTGAGACCCTGAGGCTAAAATCCAACTGTCTGGGAAGTCAGGGCAGGGCCTAAAGCAACGTGGACTGACACCAGCTGCCACACAGCCAATGTCTGATGAGCAGGAAACCTCAGCAAGGCTTCAGTGACTCCTACTGAATCCACTCACGCATGCATGGAAGATTTGAAATCATCATGGAGAAAAACAAGTCACTGTGACATACGTTTCCGGGGATTGACTTCAAACAGCCCCTTGTATGCGTCGGCCACAAAGAGAGTGCCATTGGGTCCCACACGGATGCCCAGGGGCCTCCCACAGGCAGGCTCGTCCTCGCGGGTCTCTAGGAATAAGCAGATAGGTGTTGGGCCACTGCACTCAACCCTCACTGGACAGACTCAGGGATGTACACAGCAGAGGACAGGTGTTAGCACTAGACCTACAGGGTGCTGGGGTATCCACTGTGGGGAGTTCACCATGGAGCTCAGCGCAGGGCCCACTGCAGCTACTCATGTCCACATGCAGTGGAACAGAGCAAACTAAGAACCAGACACAGTGTAAGTCCACCAGTGAAACTGCAGTATGGGTGCTGGTGCATAGCACTTTGGCCACACTTCTGAGTGACAGTCACAACTTACTGCATGGGCCTGAGCCAAACCGGGCAATGGTCTCTACTTCACCATTTTCAAGTTTCAGGACTCGGCCGTCAGCTGTACCAGTGAACATCACATCTGTTTACAAAGAAAAAGGAGAAAGGTCATCCAGGGTTGAGCTAGGAACTATGACCACAACACTTTACAACAGAAGGTAATGGCAGTTCTGGAGATGAAGGGAAAGGCAATCACAGAATGTTCAAGATCCCTTAAGACTTACAATGACAATATTACGAGGCCAGCCGTGGGTGTGCCACATGTGAGCAAATGTGTCACATGTGAGTCAGTGAAACAGGCAGTGAGGCCTCCCTCCAGGCCTGAGTCCGTCCCCAGGCTGGCACTCAGCACAGTCACACCCACCTCACAACAGTGTTCACTGTGGACAAGGATCACACCCTACAGGACAGAAACTGCTAGGAGTACTCAGGGTAAAATTAAAGCACAAAGAGCTCATGTGTACTAAAACTAGACCAAGACAGCGCAGACAAGCACAGCTCTGATGAACAAATCCCTAAAACATCCCACAGCTTTCAAATGCATATGACAAATTCTAGAGCAAGCACTACAAAATACAACAAGAAATTTATAAGCAATATGCTGAGAGGAAATAGCATCATAAAAAAATATTCAACTTAAAACTACAAAAAGCAGAAAAAGACAAAAATAGAAACAAGAACAACACAATGACAAACATGGTAGATATTAATAAACCCAGGATATCAATAATCACTTTAAACCTAAAAGTCTAAATACACCAATTGAAAGAGAGAGTGGAGCAAGATACAGCTGTATCTTGTTTACAAGAAATATACTTTAACACAGAGCCACATACAGACAAACAGCACAGGAATGGAGAAAGACCACCACACAAACACTCACTACTTCAGTAAGAGCAGCTACAAAGCTAGGAAAGTGCTAAGAGGTAAAGAGGAACAGCATGTAAAGATAAAGGAGTCAGCTGTCCAAGGAGACAGCAATCGTGGATGTGGATGTGCCTCCCAACACAGCATCAAAATCTATGAGGCAAACACCAATAAAACTGCAAGGAGAAATGAAATCTAAGACAGAGTAGACTGGAGTCTTCAACACCCTTCTTCTGGAGTTGGACAGATCAGAAAGTCAGTAAGACATGGCACCACTGCCAGTCACCAGCACGCTGACATTCACGAGGGCCTCATCAGCAATAGCGGCCTTCCACACCCAGAGGGCCATGTCTGAGCACTGCACCAGCCACAGTCAAACGTATTTTTTTAAACTGTGCCTACACTGAACAGGAACAGTTTTTTGTCATTATTCCTTAAATACAACAGTACTTACATCTTATTTACATCGCCTCAGGTACCACAGCTGATGGAAAGAAGATTTAGAGTACACAGGAGGATGTAAACAATAAGAAACTAGAGCACCTGGAGCCCTGGAGCTGACTCCTGGCACTGACTGGGCTCATTCTTCTCAGACTCACATGAAATTCACCAACCCTGACCACATTCTGGAGCCTAGGACACACTTAACAAATTTCAAAAAGCAGAAACCATACATCTGTACTCAGACTACAATGGATTTAAACTAGAAATCAATAACAAAAAGATAGCTACAAAATCCCAAAATTCTTAGCGATGAAACAGCATACTTCTTATATAGTTCGAAGAAGAAATCTCATGAGAAATTAAAAATATTTCAAGCTGAATGAAAATGATTTCTCAAAGTTTTGGGGGTACAGAAAAAGCAATACGTAAAGGAAAATTTAGAGCACTGTACAGTTATATTAGAAATTTTAATATATTTAAATTCAGTAATCTAAGTTTCCAACTTAGGAAACTAGAAAAAAAAGATCAAATTAAATCCAAAATAAACAGATGACAAGAAAAAAAATTGTAATCAAGGTAGGCATCAGTGAAATTGAAAACAAATCAGGTTTCAAAAATCAATAAAACCAGGGCCAGTGATTTAGCTCAGTGGTTACACCGCCTACCTTGCAAGCACAAAGTCCCGAGTTCAATCCCCAATACCCAAAAACAAAGAAAATAAAAAAATCAATAAAACCAAAAACTGGGTTCTTTGAAAAGATCAACACAACTGACAAGTACCTAGGCAGGCTAAGAAATAAAGAGAGAGAATACAAATTGCTAACATCAGAAATGAAAATGTAGACATCACTAAAGATCCCATGGATCTCACAGATAGTAAAAGGATAACAAAGGAGTATTATGAACAATGCTCTACCTAAATTAGATTAAATGAACCAATTCCTTGAAAGACATGATGTGCCAAAACTATACAAGGAGAAACAGACAATGTAAATTGCCCTGTATCTATTAAAGAAACTGATTAATAATATGACAAAGACAGAATGCATCAGGCTCAGACGGGTTCATTTGAATTCTACCAAACATTTAAGAATTATAATCAATTCTCTAAAATTTCTTTCAGAAGACAGAAGCAGTGAGAATACTTCCTAACTTATTCTATGAGGCCAGCATGACCCCAATACCAAAAGCCACACAAAGACATAAGAAAACTACAGATCAGTACTTTTTATGAAGACAAATGCAAAAACCCTCAACAAGGTATTAGCAAATTAAACCCAACAGTGTATAGAAAGACCCATACACCACAACCAAGTGGGATTTATCCCTGATATGCAAGGCTGGTTCAACATTCAAAAGTCAATTAATGTTCTCTATCACATCAAACGCTAAAAGAAAAATCCCATGATTGAGTCAACAATCAAGATTCAGAAAAGGCATTTGAAAAAATACAACCTCCATCCCCGGGAAAAGAAAACCTCTTCATAAACTGGGAATAGTGGGAGTTTCCTCAGATAAAGACTATCCACAGACAATAGCTAACACTGCCACAAGGACTCAAATCTCTCTGCTGAGATTAGGAACAAGGAAAGGCCATCCCCTCACCACCACTCCTTTTAATATTATCTTAGAGGTCTCAGCTGACTCAATAAGAAAGAAAATAGAAGGTATACTGATTGGGAGAAAGAAAGAAAAGTGTCTGTTTATAGATGACACACTGTCTATGCAGAAAACCTGAAAGAATCGAGCAAAACAACTAGAAGTAATCTGCAGTTGTCACAAAGTTACAGGATACCAAGTTAATAATATGCAAGTCAATCACATTTCTATATACTACCAATGAACAAATGGAATTTGAAATTAAAAACATCATTTATATTAGCACCCAAAACAATGATATACTTAGGTATAAATAAAACAAAATATACAAGTTTTTCACAAAGAAAACTATGAACTATGATTAAAGAAACCAAAGAACTAGACAAATGGGTAAGATGATTCAATATTATCAAGAAGTCACCTTTTCCCAAATTGTCTAGATTCACTGTGATCTCAATCAAAATTCCAGCAAGTTACTCTGTGGATATCAACAAAATGACTCTAAAGTTTACAAAGAGAGGCAAAAAACCCAAAAGCATCAACATAATACTAATATAGAAGAACAAATTCACCAAACTGACGATATCCAGCTTCAAGACTCACCATAAAGTTATACTAGTAATCAACACTGCCTGCTACCAACAAAAGGACAGGCAGATAGGCCAGAGAACAAAATAAACAGCCCAGAAATAAACATATAAACACAGCCAACCCATCCTTAACAAAAGAGCAAAGCCAATAAAATGGAGGGAAAAAATTGCATTTCCCACATTCGGTGCTCAAACAATGGGACATGTACAAAAATTAATTCAGACCCAGATTTTATATCCTTCACAAAAATGGACTCAAAGTGGATCATAGACCGCTATATAAAATGCAAAACTACATAAATTTCAAGGAGATAACATAGGAGAAAAATCTAAGTGACCGGGTATGATGATGACCTTTAAGATTAAAATCCCTAAGAAATAATTGACAGGCTGAGCTTCATAAAAAACAAAACCTTCTGCTCTGTAAAAGGAGCTGTCAAAAGAATGAGAAGCCACAGCCTGGGAAAAACTATTTGCAAAAGACATGTCTGATAAAGAACTGTTTTTCAAAATATACCATGAACTCTTAAAACTCAGCACTAAGAAAGTGAACAACTAAGTTACAAAAGTGGGCAGAGAACCTTGGTAAAGATCTAGAGGTGGGGCCCGGAATTTAGCTCAGTGGTGTTGCTGCCTGACTTGCAAGGTCCTGAGTTTGAACCCCAGTACAAAAAAAAAAAAGATCTAGAGGTGGTAAGAGAGGTTCAGTAGCATCTGTCATCAGAGAAATGCAAATGAAAACATCGAGATACCATGATGAGCCCATGACAAAGGCCAGCATCTGACATGGGCAGTAAAGACTGTTACTTTAGATCTAAAATGCCCCCAAAGCCTCATGCGTCCACAGGTGGATTGGGTTATGAGGGTTTATAATGGCTTCCTGTTAGGTGGTAGGATTTGGATGGAAGAGATGGTCACTGGGGGGCATGTCCTGGACAGGTCCATCTTCGTCCCAGCTCCTCCCTTTGCTCTGGGCTTTCTGCTGGCAGCTTTTCCTTCACCATGACCTTTCTGCCATGCTGTCCCACCTTGGCACCACACACTATGGACTGAAACCTCTAAAACATGTGCCAAAATAAACCTCTCCTTTAAACTTTGAATGTTGGGTATTTTGTGGCAGCAACACTTAATCTTAAAGTGATTAAGACAGTTCATATTAAAAAAAAAACTGCACACACATTTATAGCAGCCTTATTCCTAATAACCAAGACCTGAAAACAAGCAGACATCCATTAATAGATGAATGCATAAAAAAGCTATAATATAACTAGTCAAAAGACTAGATTCAGCATTAAAAAGAAATCTGTTATCAAGCCCTGAAAACTTGGAGGAACCTGAAATGCATATCACTGAGTGAAAGAGGCACTGAAAAGACTATCTGCTCTATGACTCCCACTCTATGACAGGCTGCACAAGGCAGCACCAAGGAGACAGTACAGAGATGAGTGTCTGCCACTGATGAAAGGGGAAGGACAGGGGACCAGGAGGGCAGGGCACTGAGAACACTCTGCAGGATACTGTAATGGTGGACAAACATCACCACACATCTGTTCAAACCCAGAGTGCACTACACCAAGCTTGAGTCCTGATATAAACTAGACTCTGGGGGTACAGTTTCAAAGTGGGTTCACCAACTGTACCAAATGTACCACAATCTTCATGATTAAAAAGTCATTTTGGAAAACTTCTGTACCTTCTGCTCAATTTTGCCATGAGCCTAAAACTACTCTTAAAACAGATTCTATTCAAAAACAGATGAAGTGTGTTACTTGAAGATTATTTACCTGCGCTGTAACTGGCCAGCACTCCCAGGACACCAGGTCACCCCCAAGCAGGGCTGCAGCAGCGACAGGACACTGGTGCCGCGCTGTGTGCACACCGATGGGGTATGACCACAGAAGTCCCCTGGGCCTACCCAAGACAGCTGCCCATGGGCAGCCAGCTCCTCTGTGAGGAGAAAGGGCAAAGGTAGGACACAGGATCTTCTTGAAAGGTGGGGCCCTGAGCATTACCTCCTACAAGTTACAGTTTTAAACTGCAGTATTTTATTTTTCACCAGAAAAAAGTAAAATTTAATAATATATACATCAATGTCTTTTAAAGAAAAATGAGAAGTTCTATCACATAATATTTGTTCTTCTTTCAACAATTTTGACTTTGTTAGCCAACAATCAAATCAACAGTTACTAAGATTGGACCAAGCTGTGGGTTCTGTGTCAAGCAGCAGGAGCCACAGAAGACCAGAACAGGGTGAGAAGTGAAGAACTGAAGGCTAGGAGCATTTAGGATGCACAGGTCACAGTCCCCACCCACAAGTCACCAGCACCATTTCCAAAGATGCTGCTCAGAAATCCTCACACCAGTTAATCTGTTCATCTCACCAACCATGTCTTCTTAGTACTAAGCCTAATTCTCACTCTAACAGTAAATGCCTTGTCCAATTTTTTAGAGACCTGATTTGAGCTGACAGGCTGGGGAGGGGTGCAGATACCACACAAATAGACTTCAAAACACAGAGAGCTGCTCATCCCCAGTTCAAGGTGAAGCCAAAGACCAAAGGGCCACTCTCCGTCCACCACCCACCTTCACAAATGGCCCAGGCATCACATCTGCACCCTGCCTGCCCCCTTCCTCTAAAAATGCCTCTAGAGATGGACTCGAAGTCACCTGCATCAAAATGTCACTCCAGACAGACACAGAAGAGAAGCTGGAAGGCCACTTATGCTGGGCTGGCCACTTGTGCTGGGCTGCCCATCTGGCAGATACAGCTCCAGGCTCCACAGGGCTCCCCAGAACCCACCCCCTCAGCACCATGTAGAGTCCCAGTTCACTCACCCCCGATATTTACTATGGACTCTGGCCCGGTGAGCTGATTCTCAAATAGCCTTTCCGCCTGCCGCAACTTCGTATTTGGCTGCAGGACACCAAGCAGCAAAGGAGGTTCTTTGAAGCTGTAAAACAATGCAGTTGTAGGGACATATCCACAAAAACACTTTGGGAAACATCTGCTGAGGACTGATTACATGCAAAACTCCCTGTTCTCTGATAAACAGAGCACATCCCAATAACATCTTTACTTGCCAGACACATGGGGGGGGGCTATAAGAAAAGGTCACACTACCAGGGGACTATGAAAACATCAATACAGCTAATTCCAGTCACCTGCTGGGCAGCAGGGGCCTCCACAAAGGGTAGCTGTAAGAAGCAGGGCTCAGCAGTGCCCTGCCGGCCAGACCACAGGAGTGTAAGCTTGTGTTTGAGTGACGGGGGGTGGGTGGGTGTGTGTGTGTGTGTGTTTTGCTGGGATTTAAACCCAGGGTGCTTTATCACTGAACTATATACCAAGCCCTTTTTATTTTCTGAAATGAGCTCTCACTAAGTTGCCCAGGCTGGCCTTGAATTTCCCCTTCTCCTGCCTCAGCCTCTTGAGCAGCTGGCATTACAGGTGTGTGCCACCATGCCTGGCTCACACAGATTCTTCTTAAAGCCAGAACTCCTGCCACCTCAGCATGGATGCTGTCTATGTTCAGTTTCTGATTTCATTCTACTTTCCCCCATGTTCTGCTTGACCAGGACCCAGTGACAATCTTCCCTCTCCAACTCTATTGAGGGTTGATGTCATGAGCCTGTCATACACAAGTGTATGTAGCTAGGACACTGCCCTATGTCACACCATCTGGGGGACACTGAGTCAGCAGTAGCACCAAGTCTCTACCCACAAACACTCCAGGCAGAGCTTTCACACTGAGAGGAATAAGGGGTGACTTTCCATAGGACGATATGGATGCGTGTAGTCATTTCTAAAAGATGTTTATCAGTTAAAGTATAAGATCAAGGAAATACCACAGCATTTTTTTTTCCATTAAGTTTATTGGTACATTTAAAGCAAACAATACAGTTACATTTATCATTGGGATCTTGTACCTTTACATGAGATATCTTAGTTCTTTTTTTTTTTCCCCATATACCACTGCATTTTAAAGAGATTTTGTTGCTATAACTTTAGAGACCAACAGGAAGAGTACTGCTGCCAGCCAAAAGCTGTCACAGTGTAGAACCATTTACTACTAGTGTGAAACTATAAAATTCAAAAGATGATGAATAAAAAAGTAGCAAGGGCCATTAAGGTAACTGGCCATTAGGAGCTAAGAGAAGTCCATAAATCACACCAAGGCAGGGTCCTGGGAGAACTTTAGGGAGAGACAAAGGGCTGACCTGAGCAGCAGAGGGCAGGGACCAGCACTGGGCCTTGCAGCACTCAGAGGAGCCCTGTGAGGCCCAGATAGTGCCACCCCACAGCCACCACCTCTCCTTACCCAGCACCAGTAAGCAATGGCAGCTTCCCATCCTGAGCCAAGGACATAGGACATAGCCCTGCCAACCTGGTCCCACCTCCCCATGCTGTCAGCTGTGTCCCCAGGACCCTGCATCATCGCTGTGCCTGTGTGGTCTCTCTGTCCTTCACAGTGGAGAGCCAGGCCCTGTGGCCTCCTGGACAAGCTTCTACCCCACAGTGCCCAATGCATGACCCCACCCAGGAAGCCCTGAACCCTCCTCACCGGCCCCAGGCTCCTGAGTCTCTCCTCTTTGCAATCACTTGGAGAGTTTCCCTCACTGCCTGCCTTCTGCCCAGCCTGTTTACAGTAAACTTTAGCCAGCTTCACCCCATGGGTGTCCTCACAGGGAGTCAGGAGCTCACTGACCAGAACACACAACCCTCCCCCATCCCACCACTCTGACGTCACCACAGCAGTAGGAGCCTGGCCCTGCACCACTATAATCACTAATGAAAACGTATATTAAGGGTCCCTTTTTCCAAGTTACAATGATCTACATACTCCTAGATCTCCACTGGGTAAAGATAAATTGTGGAAAAACAAATTCTAATTACAGATTTTCAAAGAAATCAGTCACTCACTACTTTCCCAAATCCCCCATGCAGGTGACCCTGCGTTCCTGATATAGCACCACAGGAACCTGTCCAGCCGGACAAAGTCCCACAGAGCTACGAGAAGCCATGAGGTGGTGGGAGCCCCAGGCTGCAGAGCAAAAGTCAAAGAGGGAAGCAGCTGCTGTCACCATCACCACCCAGTACTGAAAGCAGGCAGGCCACGCATGCACAGGCCTAGTCCAGCACAGGGCACAGGGGAGGGCAAAGGGTGGTGGACAGTAGAACAGAAGTGAGTGTGGTTATATCATCCAGGCAGGACAGAAACTGAGAAGGTCTAGGCAAAAAAGGAAGAGAGCTGAGGGAAGGGCGAGGATGAGACAGGTACCAACTCCCCACAATAAATGTGTTCATTATGCATCACAAACTGTACTAAAAATAAAATAAAAATCTAGTTACTTACAGAATTTAAACAAGGTAACTTAAGTTTACCTAACATTCGTCTATGTGCGCTTTTGCCACCACAGAACTAAGGTTAACTCTCTATTCCCCTAAGTTTCTCTTATTTTGATTTCTGTCCTTGGTTTGTAAGCTTTTTCCAACAATGACAGAGACAACACCATCCATATCCAATCAACATAAAACCCCTGAGAAAATCAGGAGTGCCTACTCTCAAAACTTCCCCTCAGCCTTCCCAGGCTGGCTGGCTTAGCCTCCTTTCCCTGGAAACTAACACACATCCCTTCCAGGGAAATAAGGACTGCAGGGAACTCACCTGAGAGGCTGAGGGTCGATGGGGGACTCCAGCAGCTTCATGGCTCCGAGCAGGGGCAGGATGAGGGATGCAGCCAACACCAAAAAGGTCATTCGGAAGACTCTGCCACTAAAGGAGCTGCCAGAAACAGAGCACACAGAGGTGGTCAGGAGAGAGCCCCAGGGACAGACTTTGAAATGAAGCCCTTTCTGCAGGAGCAGGGCCCCTCCCTAGGGCAGGGTCATCGATCTTGGTGGCTTGTGATTAAACTTCAGCACCATTTGCCAAAAGTGGCAAGCTCTGACTATATTTTGGGGTTTTTTTTTTTTAATCTTCCAGTGTTTAGAACATTCTGATCAGTTATTTCCAGATCATGAACATCCTACTGTAGCAGTTTTGTTTTTGTTTTTGTTTTCTTGGTACTGGGGATCAAACTCAGGTCCTTGTCCTTGCGAGTATAGCAGTTTTAAAAAGGATGAATTCAAAGAACAGATGAACACAAAAAATAATAGGAGGGCTGGGGATTTAGCTCAATGGTTCTGCCACCTGCCTCACAAGCACAAGGACCTAAGTTCAATCCCCGGTACCAAAAAATATATATATATATTAAATTAAAAATAATAATAATAATAGGAGAAAAATGGTTCTATGATGCTTGGTACTATGTGTCCTGAGGATTCTTAGGATCAAACAGAGTGAAGAATGAGGATGTGTCTCAGTGCTACAGCACTTGCCCAGCACAGCAAGACAGAGACAGACCAATTCATCAAGCCAATGGAAGCCCAACAACTCCCTGGGCCTCCAATTCCCCAGTCAATCTACAGATCCCACTTTTAAGGAAGGAAATTCCAGCTCTCGTACTTGATGGGAAAAGTCTGACAGATACAGTAATCACACAGACTCTACAAAATTAAAACTCTAAGCCATCTGTCCTGAAATCTTGAAAAGATCTGAAAGCTACCCTGAGAATCTTTTTTTTTTCTTTTCTTTTCTTGGTACCAGGGATCGAACTTGGGACCTTGCGCTTATGAGGCAGGTGATGGAACCACTAAGCTAAATCCCTGGCCTCTACCCTGGGATTCTTGAGTAAGGTTTTTAGACAAATGACCAGTAGTGCCTAAAATATTTCTGAACCGATCCTCATATACCTTATTTCTCATCTGCTAAGTAAGTGAAGAAATTTAGCTTCTTGCTACTAAATGAATCAAATGAATCATCATTTTCTTACATAAACTGCATTCCAATTTACTAAGCTCTTCACATTAATATTAACTTACAGCATATAAAGTCCAGCGCATCTAAGAACATTATGGCAAACCTTTTAGAGACCAAGGGCCCAAACTGCAACCCAAAACCCACTTATTTATCGCATAGTGCTAACACTGCAATTAAACTTGAATACTGAGGTTTTAGTTTAGAAAAGACAACTCATATAACTCATGACATCATCTCAGAGAGGGCTCTGTGTGCCCACTGTAGTACATATGCCATAGGTTCGCCACCACTGGTCTAAGATAATGCTTTTTCTATCAAAAAATAAAAATGTTGACTTTAAAAAATTCAAGATTCTTGCTTAACAGAACAGGCCCGATTTAAGGGCAGCGTTTAGATTTCTTACAGGACTGCCTTCTGCCATTAAGCATGTTTAACTTTGCTCCAGCTGGAGTGTAGACGTGGCCGCCCAAGTGCCAGACTAACTTGTGCAGCACCCAGCCAAGCAACTCAGACCAGTTTCTTCACTGCAGAAGCCCACAGGCTCCCACTATGAAATGGGCCACTGGTAGGGACACCTTAATGTGCTGCCCAGTAATGAACAATTGAACCTCAATAAATGAATGGAGAAGAAAGTGAAATCCACTCTTCTGTTTCCACTGTAGTGGACAGAAATGAACCACAAAGGGACATTTTAAAGACAAAGGAGAAAGGAGGGAGAGGCTTTCACAAAGGGTGCCTGACAGGTGCTCTGGACAGCACAACTAAGAGCACAGGGCTCTACCAACACAGTGAGCAGGAAACAGCTTCCTCCCAGGAACTTTGATGAAGGAACCTTGACTTTAACAGGGACCTGAGACCTGCCCAGGACTTTCACCTACAAGGCTCTAAGATAAGGAATTTGAGTTTTTTACACCACTATGGGTGTGGTAATTTGTTATGACAGCATAGGAAATGAACAGTTTTCTAAGTAATTTCCAGCACTGGAAGCAAGATGCAGCTGTAACAAATACCTAAAAAGTGTGGAAGCATTTGGAATTTGGAATTGGACTGTTGGTGAAGGATGGGAGAATTTTGTGGAAAAGGACAGAAAAGGCCTAGGTTTCCTCAGAGAGACTATTAACAGAAATAGGGATGTTAAAGATTCTGCCTGGGGTCTCAGAAGGAAGGGAGGAATATGATAGGGAAGACATGTATCATCTTCTATAGAGACACTAAGACCTAACTCATAGTGAACAGATATGTAGGCATAAAAGGCACTGCCAGTGAGGGCTTAGCAGGCAGGAACATATTACCAGTGACACTAGGAGATGGAGAAAAAGAGAGGAATATGCAGGAAAATGGATCCTTGTGATCCAGTGGTAGGAAGCAGGGCTGATTCCATCTTGTAGATGATGAGGCTGGACACTGAGAAGAGGAGATTTCTGAGTCCATGTCAGAAGTGCAGCCCTCATTCCTTCCCACTGCTTTCCTCTCCACTACAGAGCAGGTGTCAGAGTTAACCACTCTCTTTGTCCCTCTGACATTTCCCCTTTGCAATGAGAATTCTCATGTATGTCAATTTTCTTTTTTATAATCTTCCCAAATTCTGCCCTTAGCTTCCTTCTCCTTGCTTGATAGGGTTCAAAATCCATCCCAAATTCCCAGGTAAATTGCCAAGCCATCAGTCTTTACCCCCTCTGCTAGGTGGCAAAGCAGGTGGTATAGGTACATAAACCCAAACAAAAAGCAGGAGACCCATCAGGTCATGAGGGCCCATGCTCCCAGAAGAAAGCAGGCAGCCAGGAAGTCAGGTCAACCTCTCCCTCCCAGTCCTGCTCCCAAACATCAGGGCCCTACAACCTTCTTCTAATACAAGTGACTTATGCCAGTAAGGGTACCAACATCACAGGCATGAAAATGCCTATAAAGCACAGATCAGTGACAACCAGGTACATGGCAGGCAAACATAACCTGGGGTCCGCAGCAGGAAAGGAGCAAGGGCCATGAGAGATGACCAACAGGACAGCAAAAACAAGCCATGCATGATGTATCTCTCTGCCTCACAAATGAGCAAAATTGGCAGTGGGAGGCTCAGGCACTTGTCCATGGCCCATACCAGAACCAAGAGCAGGCACCAAGAAGGCCAGCCCTGACTCCAGACTGCTGCTGCCAAAGACAAGGCAAGGGGGCAGAATCTGGCCTGAGAGCCTCAGGGTCAGGGTGTGAGAGCACCCGGTGATATGCCTATGCCAACACTCACATGAAGGAGGCACACAGTGTGAGACCTATCGTGATAGATTCTTCCACCCAACATTAGGCCTTCCAAGTTCACCCACACTGCAGAACACATGAATACATTGTTCCTTCTATTGGCTGAAGAACCTTCTATTGTCTGTGTATCCCAAAACTCGTTTTTCCACTTATCCACTGAGGGACTTCCTGACCATGAGGGCAGGAAACAGCTCCTTTCCCTCAGTTATGATTTCTTAATGAGTACAAGGTGTTTCAATGGGGTGATCCAAAGTTTTGAAACTGGAGAGAGCTGATAGTTGCCAAACATTGTGACTACATCAAATACCACTGAGTTGTATATTTTAACATTGTTAATTGTATCACTGAATATGTGTGCATTTCACCTAAGCTAAGAAAATTTAACACTGATCAAAATGTTCTAGAGGATGTAACTGTTGCAAAATTCCATAATTATACTAAAAGCCACAGGATAGGAAATGATAAATGGGTGAGTTTTGTGGTCTATGAATTGCTTCTCGATAAAGATGTTTAAAATTAAAGAACAAAGTCAACCACTCTCCCACACAAGGAGCCGTAGGGTGGCTGTAAGTACCAGTGGCAGAAAGGCTTTTGTTAGTGTGGTTCTTTTATAAGAGTCCCAGAAGAGAATTCACTCAAAGGTGCACAGGGAAAGGGCCTTTTGTACAAAGTTCAACCTGGATTCCTGTCCTTTAAAGAATCTGACATGATCACACACCCCACCCCAGCCTCCTGGGGGAAACTGTAATCCTTCACCTCTGGGCTATCATTAAAGTAACAGGAGACAGTCTAACCAAAGTGCAGCTTTGTTTTCTCCTTGCCTAACCAAACATTCTTCTCATCTATCTCCAGCTGACATTAACTCTCCTAGGCCATGCTGTACCTTACACTTGGCAAAGGGTTGCTGGGGATGGAACCCAGGGAATCACACGTGCTAAGCACAGACTACCACTGAGTTGTACCCCTAACCCCTGTATTTGACATTCTAAAAAGCTTAATTTGGAAATCTGATTCAGAGTTTGCAACACCCCACTTAAGTATCTGACTGTCCCTTTACATAATGGTAACTGGTTCAATTATGTCAAAAACAGGGCCTGGCCAGGACTGAAAATGACAGTGCTGACAGCTAGAAAAACAGGAGATGATCTGTGTTGCACATCACCCTTCTTTGCTGGGACTGAGGTGCCACGCAATCCAATGCTGTCAAAGGCAGCAGCCCATGGATCACCTATATAAGCTTTAGCAAGGCCCAAAGCTTCTGGTCTGGTTGTCCAAAGTGGGCCTGGGAACACTTTCTTTTCATTGTCATTCCTGATATGCACCGACACTCTCTTATCCAAGCCCATCAGCAACTCCGGACTCCACCTGATAATCATCTAGTAGAAGCTCTGCAGGCAACGTTTAGAAATAGTAACTTAAAGAAAACCCCTCAAGCAGTGCTGTCCAACCTCCACGATGACGCACATACAGTAACCACTCGCCATGTGTGGTTCCTGGGCATTTGAAATGGAGCGAGCTTGCTACATAAATGGGCAAACGGGGCTCCTGTGCAGCCTCACCTGGATGCAGTTCATTTGTGGTGCCTGCGTGGTCAACTATACCTCCTCCCCTCTCCTCTATGCTGGCTTCCCTCTGACTGTGCACATTATTCTAACTTAAACAAAGATGCTACTCTTATCCCTATCATTTTCACTAACCAGGTGCCATATACTCTCAGCCTGTGGTGTAGACACATCCAGGAAGGCCAGCAACTTGCTCCCAGGTGCAGTCTGAGAAATCAACTTGTTTGCCCCATCTCTCAGGAAGAGCCTGGAGGAAAGCTTGCCTCTGGGGGACATGTGAAATTTCCTGAAATGTCCTGCAGTCTCTAAGGACAAGAACACAACCATAGTGATGCAATATGTTCTGACAATTGCAGCTTGCCCAGCCACAATTTACACAATCTTCTGTAATCCCACCAGCCAAACCTGGAGGACATGCTCTAATTCTTTCTGCACATCAGACACTGGGGCCTCAAACCATGAACTAAAGCCTTGAGGAGCCCAAAAGCCACCTGAGACTTCTGTGGAAAACCAATTAGCCCCCAATCCATGGGGTAACAGAACCTTGGTGGTCAAGATGATCCTAGGGACCTGAGCAAGTCAAAGAGCAACATGTCTCAACTTTTTAAGCAAGTACACCTTGGATTTGCTCATTTCCCACATTTCTTTAAATTGGCTGTCCTAGAATCATTGTTTCCTTGAAAAAAAAAAAAGGAAATTAAGAAACAAGATAAAAGGGCAATTTAAAAATCACACACCAGGCAGAGCTGAGATTAAAAACTCCAGATTCCTGACTCTTCTCATGACCACCACATCTTCTATACTGTCTCCCTTAATTTCAGTCTTAAAATGGAAAAAAAGGAAAACAGAGCTGCTATACTTTTAATTAGTCTAAAAGCCTTTCAATTTACTGAAAACACATCTGTTAATTCTCAGTGTATTCATTCTTCACTCCTAAACAGTTCACCACCCACACAGACATTAAAAAGTTCTCTTTCTGGAGAGAACTGTGTTAACAAAGGGTAGGAATCGTTTCACAAAGCACAACTATCTTTTAATAAAGTCTCTTAACACATTTGAGTAAACTGTTGCCAAATAATAATTGTAAGTTTGCACTAGTATGTTAAAGTCCTTAGCTCATCTATGCTCCACACTGAATAAAAAGTTAGTAATCAAATGATCCATTATTGCTCAAATACAGAAATTTGAGAGCTTTAGCACAAAATCTTATTCCAAAGTACAATTCCTAAATTATGTTTCTCAGTCATTGTCCAGCTGAGAATTCTACCCTTCTTCATTCACTTTCATTTCTCTGTTCACACTATTCCCCATACCTCAGTAACCTCAGTAAAATACAGCAAATGTCACCTTGCATGCCAAGAATCAGAAGACCTCCTACAGGATCCCTAGGTGTCCTCTCTACGGCCCAAACCTACTGTCATTCTAGTCTGTTAGTTTCAGGTCTTCCACGGTTCCTTTTGTCCTGTTTAGCACATCTAAAGTTTTATTTAACATGTTTCTGTTTCGGCTGCCTCCAAATTTCTTGACTGCACCCTCCATACACAGGCTTCCCTAGCTTAGCTGAAGTTGCAACCTTTAGGGTAACCAAAAAGATCATTAAGTAAACCGATAGAAATTACCAAAGAAGAATGAAAAATATAGAAGACTCACAGACAAAAGTAAGAAAAACAGCTATAAAGCTAAAAGTAGAAAAGAAGATGGGTGAGAAGAACTCTCTTTGAAAGAAACCATTACAGTATACAGGAAAGGGATCAATAAATTAAAGAAAGATTTTAAAAAATACAGGAAGATAAGAACTGAGTCCACTGACAGGGAAGTCAAGAATAGGTTAAACAAACAAATATGCTAGAAAAGATCAGGTGGCAACAGATGTCTGTGGAGCATCTAATTTACCTTTTCATTAAGGAAAAAATCCCCAAGAGAGCCTGAAAAACAATTTAATTAAGTCTGCCCTCAGGCCATCTAGTAAGCACCTCAGATACTGTATGCCAGACTTTTAACACACTTCACCTTTCATTTTTCAGGTCAAAGTGCCTGTTCTCAGATTTCTGTCATAAACATAGCCAGCCACACATTCCCATTCTAAAAGACACATTGGTTACCAGCAGAGTTTAATTTACAGTATCTACAGTAAGCAGGGTGACCAACTGCCCTGCTTTGCCCAAGGGTAGCCCTGAAAAGCTTCGGAAATGAGAATGCTCACAGTCCAGGGCAGCCGGTCACCAACAGGATGACGGCTGCATCTTCCTGACCTTTCTGCAGCCCAGGGAATCCACGCTGCCACAAAACCGTCTCTCCAAACTGCCTTCCCAGAGCCAAACACTGCTGTGAGCTATCGATCTCCCTCAGTAAGTCCCTCTCATTAATTATCACCGAATAAATTCGGCATATCGGGGCAAAAAAGGCCTCTTGCTCACCACACCCCTTGGCATATTTTGGATGACCAATAAATAGTGCTTACTTCTATTAACATATAAATCAATTCCAAAACTTGAAGCTTGATCTGTATATAGGACCTCTTGTTTGGCCCTAGAAATTCAAATTATGAAACTCGGGACACAAAACAGAAATTCTGTTTAAGAATCATGCTTTGGTTTTTAACAACAAAACATAGTATACTTAAAATTCTAGACGACTGAAGAGGAAGCAAAGACCAAACGCCCAAAATTTATCAGGTGTCAACAACCAGTTCCCCCGCTCTCCGTCCCCATTGGGAAACCTGCACGACAGTCCCACGGAAAATGTCCACACCAAAACTCTTGTGAGGGGAGGAAGGGACAAGTCTGGAGGCTGTCACCCCACAGCGGACACCGCGTGGGGAGGGAGGGACGAGCTTGGGACAGCCCGGGACACCGGCGCAGCCTCCGGGCTACCTGACGGCCTACCTGCCGTCCTTGGC